ATATTAATGTTTGCTATTCTTTTCATATTCGTTTTGCCACCAAATGTCTGGTCGCATCCATGTTTGATAAGAGCTGCAATGGATTTGTGTGGCATAGCTTGAAAGTTTGGGCAGCAACTATTTAGTATATTCACAGCTTTTATCACTTCATGCAGTTTTCTTATATTTATCTGGATAGCAAATGCTTTGCAGAACTATCCCTGCTCTCCACCTGGTCCACAAGGCTGCAATCCTTCCTTTTGCCCACGCCAGCTGCTAGGCAGAGCAAGCTTTGGTATTATTAATCTTGACAGACCAAACAATTTCCTGTTTACCCAGACGACCGTACCACCAGCTCTGCACAACACCAGCCAGCCTTTGCTTAAATAGCCTCACACAGTCAAACGGCTGCCTGCCTGACCCCCCACCCCCCCACCCCAAACCTTGAATCACTGCACCAATGCCAGCCAAGCTAACGTTTGGGCTGGCAGTACCACCACCATTCACGGCAACACAATCCAGCTCCTGGCCTACTGCCATTGCTGACCAGAGCACATGTGAGCGTCGACCACTTCAAAGCCACAGCAGCACCCAGCGCAGTGAATAGAGAATAGTGTTCTGCTGAAAAGGATGAAACATGATAGAGAAGAGCAAAATTCTGTTTTAATTGAGGGGGAAAAAGTGAACCAGAAAATTCAACTACTTTATTTGGCTTACTTGTGTGTATTTAACCGTTTGCACATGTGTAAAAATTCATGCGTGTTTTACTGACTTAACATTGTAATTCTCCAGCGTTATCTRTTTTGATTTTTGTGCAGTGTTGAGCTCAATGAGTATTGATTGTTTTGTGTGGCATGAGAAATCTGCATGCATAATGTGCATGGATTATCACTTTTTACAGTGGTCAAATGATTGTCGTGTCTCTATCTTCCCCACATGCCCCGTCTTGTTGTTCTTTTTCTTTTCTCTCAATCCTCTGATTACCACCCTGCAACTTATGCTTGCAACAATCTCCCCTTCCCTGGACTTCAACTCCCATCATCCCCAGCTCATTCCCCCTGAAACCATCCAAGAACAATAAACATAGTCTGAGAACACTCTCTAGGTAAGACTGAACTCAAGGAACCTATTAAACTCAGTTCCTTACTATRTTATTTTGACTAGATAGGGACCCTTTAACACTCCCTTCACAACACTGATGAAAATTTCTTGTGATTTTCCGACTGCTTCAGCACATAACCTCTCCTGACCGCAGTTGTTTTTTGCTCTGCCTTTTTGGGTGGCGACAATGTGTGTGTCAGATCAAAAACGTATGCTTTTGTTTTGCTCAAGATGACAGTGCCTATATTGATTACATATGTTGGCAGATCTGGTAAATCAGGCACTTTAACACACAGCATAARTGAGAAAAAGAAATGTGCTGATGCAGCTGCATTCAAAGCCTGTCACTTCTGCCACCGTCAATATCATCAAGTGTATTTATCACATGCATGCCTTTTTGAACCACATTAAAAATATAGTTYGTTCCAAATTGTGATGAATGAAGAAGCAGAAACAAAAGATCACATATGGTGCAGTTGTACAAAACACTCCTCRTTAGTATGCTAACACTGATTTTGATTATGAGGTCTGCATAGCAAACCACTCTAAGTTCTTTTACTTGTTTTTCCATCAGGGAGTTCTTATTGTTTCTGCAGCGCTATAAGTCGTTCTTTGCGGTATTGCCAGAGATGCTGTGTGAAGCAGAGGGTACTCTAGAAGATTCTACCTGCTGGAGCGGGGATGGCGTGGTGGAAAGGTAAGCAACATGTTCACAGGTTCTGTCTTTTTGTTCTGATTATTTAACTGCAAAAACACAAAMCTGATCACTTCAAATCCAGTATTTTTGAACAGTTTGGACTACTAAACAAATTTATTCTTTCCTTTAATCTTTGAATTTTAGTTTGCTGTTGTTTCACTGGAAACTTGCAATATCAAGTGTAACTTTTTGATAGCAAAGTACTCAATGGACAGGTTTAAATAAAACAAACAAAAAAGAAAATAAGTGGATGTTCAGCAAGTTGCATTTTGAATTCAACATCATTTAAAACGGTCATACAGTATTAGGTTTTTGAAATACAGAATGTTCTGTAAAAAAGTATTTTTAAACAATACTGGTTTATTTCATGAATTTAGAAGCCTAGATTATGGTAGATTATGGAAAATCTGCATTCTTTGAAGTTTAATATAAATGAAATGAGTGATGATTCAAGGATTTAACAAAGTAATGTAATTAGCCAAAAAAAAAACAAACAAACAAAACTAAAAACAAAACAAAACATGTAAATATGTAAACAAAAACAAACCCTCATTTTTATGTGTTTGTCTTTTTGTGGAAGATAATATCAGGCTGTGAGTCAGTGTGACTGGTTTTTGTTAGTCATTGTGGAAGAAAGGAAGTTATTAAATCCATCTTCATATTAACTGAAAGCTGGCAGGACAAACAGTCACACGGCTCTTGTCTTGTTTTTGTCAGAGTTTTTGACTGAATTGTTATCTAAGACTTTTAGCACTAATATTTATTTGTTTATTTTTGTTTCATTTTGAATTGATTTATAGGTATGGCTTGAAACTTTTTTCCTGCCAATGGTTTTGCGAGCATCTCTTGGAGACCCGAGCACTCACGCAGTGTGTGGTTGTGCTCCTTCTTTCTCAGCATGAGATTAAAATGATAACAATTACCCAGCCAACACGAGTCTGTAAATGATTCTTCTGCTGGATCTGTTTCTTAAACACTCTCAAAACTCACTCCATAGTTATGACAAAGTTAAACTGTTTATTTATTTTTATTTTTATTTTTCCCCATTTCTGGGTAAAAAGACGAGATCGGCACTTGACACCGCCAGTATTAGATTTTGCAGAAGTGCATAGAGTACCATATAGGTTTACATTTTCTTCATGATATTTGCAAGATTGTTTTGCTGATATTGAGTTCATTGACTGGAGAAACAGTTTGTYTTGGATCTTAACAAAGTGGATAGTGAACTTCCAAAATATTTTCGGTTTTACCAGAATAAGAGACAGTGGGTCCACACACATGTATAACTCAGATATTGTAGTAGATTCGTGATCAGGAACAGATGGAAAAGCAAACACAAGGTGAGGGGACCACAAAGCACCTACTGTACAATGCAGCTCTTTTGTCTGTATGAACTGTCAGCTGTCTATTACCTTTCTCAGCATATGGAAGCAAATGTGTGTGTCAATTTACTGCCATAGATACAGACTTTTCATCTAAAGCTTTGTGACGGTGCTTTATCATACAGTTGTGATTGGTAGGTCCATGCTCATGGTGTCAAGTGCTCCTGGATCGAATGAGAAAACAGTAACCTACTGAGACATTTGGCTCCACTCACAAGCTTAGCCTGTGGCCATTCAGCAGCTCTCTTTAACTGCGTCTGACTCTGTTGGCATACAACACAGAGAAAGGGCGGCAGAGCAGGGCACGATAAAAGGGCCATCATGTTAGTGCCGTGGTGCCCCCACTGTACACTGGTGTGCCTCTGTGGAGGCAAGCCTGGTGGAGAGAAAGTGGGGAAGAGTGGGGGTGGAGTTTGCAGGGGATGTTGGCAGCATAAAGACCCATTGTGGAGTCAGTGGGGCACAACCCTGCTGTGGGGACCCCCAAAGCCTGAAGGGGAAACAAAGGCCCTCCTATGAGGCTGCATGGGAAAGACTCAGGCATCACTGTTGTAACTTCTGCCGCTGCTTGTACCGCACTTGAGAAAGTTGTGTCAAAACACCAGTTTAGATCACTGATAAAGTTGCCTATAAACACAAAATAGATCATCCAGCAGCGAAGAATAACAGATAGTATGATCTAAAACAGACATGTGAAATATTCCACCTTACTTCATGTGTGGTACGAACAAAAGAGCTTCTGAGAATGGGTTTTCCCCTGTGCAAAACATAGACTCAAATAGACACATATACAATATCAATTCACATGGGATCCATAAGCTAGTGAACAGCTGGTGGGTTATTCATAATGTGTTCAGGCAAAAAAGTAAACACGCACCCACATCCAGACACACTTATAGATGATAATACTTCAAAGGACATGAAAGGGATTTGAGAGTGACAGTCCCTTCCTCTCTTTGTTCAGCATCTGATGACAGAGTGGCAAGCAGGGTGCAAGCAGTCGTACTTCTGACCGAACATGCATAGCAACATATGTTCAAATGTCGCAACATTCTGATTGTTAAAGGTGTGAATACTGAGCACCGTGTTTTCCGGAAAACTTGGGATCAACCAAAAGTGCCAGTTTCTTTTTTTTAAGAGTGGCTGACATGAAGAGTGGTCAGCAGAGTGTACAGGACCCAAATGCCTACAGGCATGTAGGAGACAATATCAGAGTGAAGAAAAACTTTAATCATTTCCACCATGATCTGGAATGAAGCAAAGTATGACATCAAAAGAAAGAAAGAAAGAAAGAAAGAAAGAAAGAAAGAAAGAAAGAAAGAAAGAAAGAAAGAAAGAAAGAAAGAAAGAAAGAAAGAAAGAAAGA